CTAAAGAAACCCGAATCATCATCATGGTGGACAACTGCCGTAAATCTTAGTTATCTCAAAAATGCAGCTTCTCAACATGAAGGAGAATGGAGAGACAAATATAATAAAGCTCGAGAATATCTCTCTTCCCAAATTGGAGATGCCGATGCAGAAAAAGAATTATTAGAAGTTACCGACAAATATGTAGTTGACAAAGCAACAAACAAAGTTATTGACGACCATAAACAAGGAATTATTGCTATTGAAAAGGAAAAGAGACCAAGCATTCTTGGAAATATTACTGGTGGTTTAACGAAAATATATAAAACTACCACAGATACCGTCAAAGATCTTGGTAAAACTACCACAGATACCGTCAAAGATCTTGGAAAACACATAGAACAAGCTCTTGATACAGATGATCATGATCATCAAGATAAAGCTGCCGCCTTAATACTTGTCCAATCTAATGATACACCCGAAAAAACTAAATCAATTTTTACAACACAGAAAGATGATGGATGCTTCGAATTAAGTGAAACAGTAGTTAAAGAATTAGATGTTCCTGAAAAAGAAGTTGTAACTACTATTCAAACATATACCACAAATGAGAAATTAAAGAAACCCGAATCAACATCTTGGTGGACAACAGCATTAACTCTTAGTTATCTCAAGAATGCCGCATCTGAATATGAAGGAGAATGGAGAGACAAATATAATAAAGCACGAGAATACCTCTCTTCCCAAATTGATGACGCGGATGCAGAAAAAGAATTATTAGAAGTTACCGACAAATATGTAGCTGATAGAGTTACCGAAAAACTCAGACCCAGGATCATTAAAAAAGAAATTGAAATCAAAAGAATTAAGGTCGAAGAAGAAACACGACAAGCTGTTTATTCTTGCCTTCGTGAATATGCAAACATAGAAGTTGTTCGTACAATTTGCAGTTCTCAGAATGGTGACGGAACATTTTCTCTCCATTCTGTAATCACATCGCATCTTGGAATTCCTTCTTTGACAACTGCCGTAGAGTCCCTTAAGGATTATGTCGGTAGTCAATTAAGAGAATATGAAGATAATATTTGGTATACAGCATTTACGATCGTCTACTTTAGAATAGTCTTAATTGATCATGAAAAAGAATGGAAAAGTGCAGTTAGCCAAGCGTCATTGTGGATAACAAACAAGATTAATAATGTTGAATTAGAAAAGGAGTTATACGCCGCTTGCGATCAATACTTAATTTCACTAGGTATTGAAATCCTTAACAATCGTTCTTCCACCATAACGGTTAAAGTATATAATGTCCCCGAAGAATCACGTAAGATCATTTATAAGAGACTTAATGAGAGCTGTACAACCCAAGTTTCTCGCACACTTTGCAACTCTCAAGCCAAAGATGGTTCATTTACTTTGCATCCATCAATTATGAAACATTTACAAATTCAGTCAATTGATGCAGCCGTCGAGTCTCTTAAACATTATACTGGTGTTTCATATTTAAGAAGTTGCGATAACTCCATATGGTACACAGCCTTTACTATTACATACTTCAGAATTGTTTTAATTAATTACGAAAGCGAATGGAAACATATAGTGGATCGTGCGGCTACTTGGATTACTGAAAAAATCAAAAATGCAGAAATCGAAACTGAATTGTACAAAGCTTGCGAACAGTATTTGATTGAACAAGGGGTAAACCATCTTGATGAGAAACCGGAAACTGTTAAAACTGTAAAAATGACACTTAATGTTGATGAAAGCACGCGAAAATCCGTGCACGACCACCTTAGATTACGCTATTCAACTGATGCTATTCATGTTATCCGTACACTCATTTCCGGACAAGACAATGACGGTTCATTTAAACTACATTCCTTAATCTCTGATCATCTACAAATTTCTTCAATCGCAGTCGCTAGCGAGTCTCTTAAAGGTTATGTCGGCATTACGTCTCTAAAAAATGACGACTCAGATATATGGAGTACAGCTCTTACAATTACTTACTTTAGAATCGTATTTGAAAAATATGAGGATGAATGGAAGGACGCTATTAAACGTGCTACAGTCTGGATAACGGAAAAGATCAAAGCCAAAACAGAAAAATATGTCGAAGCAGAAGAAGAATTATATCAAGCCTGTGAACAATACTTTATCGAACAAGGGATTGAAGTCTTTAATAAAGAAGCTATCACTGAATTAGACAAAATTGTAATTACTGATAATACACGACAAGCTGTATACTCCCATCTTCGTAGCGGCGCTAACAAAGATAATACTCTAATAATTTGCAAGTCCCAGAATAATGATGGTTCATTCTCTCTTCACACCCTAATAAAAGAGCATCTTCAAATCCGGTCAATCGACACTTTAACTAGATCTTTGAAACGTTTTTCTGAAAGTCAAACCCTAAGAAGATCAGATGATTCTATATGGTTTACGGCATTTACAATCACTTACATCAAAATTGTCCTTGTTGAACATGAATCCGAATGGCGCAAAGTTGTTGAACGAGCATCTTCCTGGATTACCGAGCGAATAAAGAACGCCGAACTTGAAAAAGAATTATATTCAGCATGTGAACAGTACTTGATTGACAGGGGTTGTAGTATTATTCAAGCAGAAGAAAGCGAAGTGTCACTGTCTAAAAATGCTTATCTCAATCCGGAGATCATTGTCATCGGAGCTGTATATGAGGCTAATCGTAAATTCGAGAAAAATTGTGTTGAATCAAAGACCAAACTTGATTTAAATCAAGCCCGCGAAAAGATTGACTTATTTGTAGAAGAAGAAGTTGAAAACATATTTGCCACTAGAGTCGCTTACGGTGACAAAGAGGATATTCTGCGTCGTGCAAAACGTGCCGCACGCTTCTTGGTCGATGAACACTATAAGGCTGATGAACTCTGTTGCTCTCGTTGCGGCAAGGACTACTGATCAATATTTTCATTTCGAAAATCAACATAGAATTGTTTTTTTATATTTATTTTATATTATATTTAGCGTTCTAGGAATCAAAAATTAGGAAATTTTTTATTATTATCATATTTAACGGTATTTTCCAAGTGTTATATTATACATAAAAATTTGCAGTATTGTATGTCCACTTTGCAGATTGAACCACATGTTTATTTCTCATATATGAAATAAAGCTCGTCAAGAATGACGATATTCTTTTGAATTATCTAATATGAAATTGCTTGATTGAATTTAATATATATGTAAAGGTTAAGTAATATGCGGTATTGCATCGTGCCATCCGAGTTATACTTACAAGGTGTAAAACGTCTTTCTCGATCGTTACATGACTCATTTTGCTAATAAGCGGCAGACCCATTGTTTTAATCCTTTATATTATTAATTATAATTTTTAAGATTGAAATTACAAATGCATATTTCACAAACTGTTGTATGATCTTGAATTCTTATTTAGATTGAAAAAAGAAAAGAAATATTTTTTTACCTTCAAAATAAGTATATTTATTATGCAACTATTTCAATATTGTATAACTTTTTTAAATAAATATAACATTATTATTTAATCATAAAATAAATACTTTTTATTTATTTTTTTTTAAATGTTTAATTAAATAAATATTGATATTATAAAAAATTATTTTAAATTCTGATAAAGTTTTGCATTGATACATATTATTTATTTATTTTTATTTTTTTTTTTTAAATCACTAATAGATATTAAATTATTATTATTATTATTATTATTATTTTGAGGCTAAGTATGATATACGCAAGACTTTTATTAATCATTTTTATAGATTACATGGTTAACACATGAACAGTCTAGTTTTAACTGACACTACCCACCTATTTCTGTCCAAATACCAATTTACACCTTGGGGATAGGTCCATACTTAGACTTTTTGAGGATATTTCTTAACCAGTATATGCTAATTTTCTGTAGATCATCTTGCTTGAATCTTGTCTTCGGCTTATACAGCTGCAAATAGGATCCATATATATATACATTTCCTAGTAAATGCTCCGAAATCTGTCCTTGATTAGTACACACTATCAAATCTGGGGGCTTGGTTGCTGATCAAGTGGGACACGACTCTTAAATTTCTCAGTAGACACTTCAAGGGAGCTCGGTTGGCTTAAGTTGCCAAATCTAGGGACATAAATGCCAAGCAGAACACAACTTCTACATATAGGGATATGGTCGTACACACTTATACCACACGTTAATATTCATATCGACAATCCCATCAAGATTTCTTACTTCTATATTAGCATGCTATGTTCTATGATATTAAATTATTATTAAATTATAATAAAATTTTACTTATTATTATATTTTTATATGCTTATAAATACAATAATTTATATATTAATTAAAATTTCAAATGCAAATAAATTTATTATTTTTTTATAAAAAACTCTTTCCCACTCACCCCCACTTCGTCTGAAAATTTCCTTTTTAGGAAATTTTCTCCCCTTCCCCCTTCACTTCTCTTCTTCTGTTAAAGATGAAATTCTGCAGCAGGTTAAGTCTGAGATGTGCTGACACCACACGAGGCTTCTCCAACTGTCGGACATTATCCTCCAAGAAACATATACGTATGTAGTACTGGCTGGCACATCTGAAGAAGCACTCTTGCTTAAGGGAAGTGTGAACTGACCAAAGACCTGCGCATGACAGAAGTCTGAGACAAGGAAAAGGGAGGTTTTGGGGTAGGCCAACCTTTTCTGTAGCAAGGCTCTGTGTACGTCTGGTAATCACAAGCAAGAGAGCAATTGTTTTTCTTTCCCCTTTTTCCTTTTTCCCCTTCCCCCAATCCCCTTTCCTGCCGATGAACTGTTTTCCCTTCCCCTTGAAGGTTTTCTTTCTAGGTCTCTCTCTCCTTACTCCGCATCCATCTCATCAACCCTCTGGAATGCCGATACCCCTATCTTGGTCAAGCATATATCTTACTCAAGCTGAAGCCGCTTTCATCAAGAGGTGTGGGCCTCCTGATAAAAACCTCTTCCCTTGCTTAAAAGAGCTTAACTTGGAAAAGGCCATGATGGAATCACTTCGACTGAAAGTTGTGACTAGAAGCACACAAAAGCAGCCAGGGGTACTTTCGATAGTCACTAGTTCATATACCAAAGTCTGAGAATGCGTGGGGAGAGACAGTAGGTAGTCAAAGGTGGTAATTCTCTAACATAAAGAGGCCAGATGCATAAGGTTTTGCATGACTGAGTTCCTGGTTCTGTCTGAAATAGTTGGTCAGAGGTATATACTAGATAAGCACTCCCATCCTGGATACCTGACATTCCATCATCCACATATACTCAAGAAAAATTTTCATGGAGTTGATTTTCTTGTTTACTCTCCCAATTCCTATCCACACCAAAAAACCGCGATTAGCTTACCCCCTCTAAAAGATCGGCGCAAGATGATCGTGCCATATTGGGATCAAGGCCCCTAATATGGAAAGACCCATAGGCCGTATCACAACAACAAAACTGGTTCCCGGGCCCAGCATATTCAAAACCCGATTTTCTTAGTCACACTAAATAACTCCCTGTTTATTCCCAATGAGCACATGTACCGGTTTATAATATAACTAGTAGCTAGCCATTATTTACCCTTTCTCTTTCCCTTCTTGGGTTTTTAAAGGCTGTACGTGTCACATTATATTATTGCAATAGGCTACAATTAATTTACTTATGTAAAGATTGTTAATGTAATGGCAGTAAACGAAAGTTTAATAAAAGCC